ATAAGTAGCTGGCTGGGACCCCAGGGGGGAGAGCGGCAGCCCTACCCAGAGTCCCGTTCCCGCCCCCCGCCCCCCGCCCCCAACCCTTGCCAGGGAGCCTGGGAGCCCCATGCTTGCAGGATTGTCCCACTACAACTTTATCTTTTAGGGAGAGGTGCTTTCCCCAAACAGAAGTGGGGGCAGGTACTAGAGGAAGGGGCAAGGGGTGCAAAGCAGGCAAAGAATAGAACCATTGTGGTTACAGCCAGTTATCTTAGCAAAACCCGTCCTGCCTTTCCTCCGGCCTTGGCGCTGGGGAACCTGAGAGCCTCCCAGCCACCTCCCACCACCACTCCAGTCCCTTTCCTGAGGCAAGTGTGATGCTGCATTCAGGACAGAACACATTTCTTCATTGTATCCAGAAGCCGCTCTGGGTCGTAATGTTCTTGGAGTGGAGCTGGATGTCTCTCTCCTATGCAACTCTCTGCGAGAACATCTTGGCCTCCGTCTGCGAGTCCTTCCCACTGGCCATTAGAGAAAAAGCCCGGCTTGGTCTGGGACTCGGTAGGAAATGGTGCCTGCTGCTGATTGCCCCTCTTGTCCTAGGATAGCCCAAACAGGCAGCCCCATCCCCTGGAAGCCACCCCAAAGTGGAACAGAGCTCTGTGTCTTACTCTGGCTCCCCGTTCCCCCTCGCCCCTGTCTTCTGACTGCCGTGGTTTCTCTTTGCAGCAGAAAAGAACACCTCGGGAATGATAAGCCGTCCTTCTCCAGGGAGGATGGAGTGGATCATCCCTCTGATTGTGGTATCAGCCTTGACCTTCGTGTGCCTCATCCTTCTCATCGCTGTGCTAGTTTACTGGAGGTGAGTAAGCCAGGCTGTACCTACAGAGGGGATGTGGGGGGGGCTAGGTTCTGCTCTAAGCACACTGCCCTGGGCGGGGCCGGCGGTGGGGCAGGGAAGCCCAGGGCTTCTCATTCAGTAAGGCAAGGCAGCTGGAGTGTGTCTGGGGTCACCATCTGGGGGGTCTGCTTTATCTGGAAGCTGCTGGTGGGCTAGAGCCACGATTGAGATCAAGGCCCTTAGGCGGAGCTGTTATGACTGAAAGCCAAAGGAGATTTTGCCTGGGAATCGTGGACCTCCACATTCAGACCCCAGCCTTGATACTTGGTGGATTCAAACCCCATTTCCCCCTTAAGCTTTAGTTCCTGAACCTGCAAAATGAGTAAGTTTCCTAGCATTTCCAGGTTCTCCAGGGCCATATTTCACTTTGTTGTATCTGCATAATGACCCTTCTTTACTTTAAGATGTTTGTGAAAGCCATTTGCTGGAAATCAGGTGATAGGGAAACATTGAGCACATTATGTGGCATTTATTACCCACAGTATAAAAACAGCTGATTTTTAAGTCCTCCCTGAGTTATCATTGTCCTTGAACTGGTTCTCACTGTTCCCCTGGGAAGTCTGCTTGCAGCTTCTCTTTAAAAGTTCTGTTTTCCAGCTACGTTCTCTGAGGCAGCTTAACTGAGTGAGGCAGGCTGGCCCACTTGGTTGGGTCTCACCTCTCCAGCTGCTCTAAGAAACTTCTGCCCTTGAACGAGCGTCCTCTGTGACAAACAGGTGTCCTGTTTCCATCCTTTTTTTCCCTCTTACCATTCACTCTGTTAATTTTGAGCTCCTATTATGTGCCAGACAGTCTTACCTCCTGGAGCTTACTGGAGATAGGCAATAAGCAAAGTACGTAAGATATGTGATACTTAAAGTGATAGTAAGTGTGTAATGGAGAAAACTAAATCTGGAAAGGGGAGGGGCCTTCTGGTACTTGGGTTGAGTATTCCAAGTAGTTAAGGAAGCCCTAAAATGGCAAGTGATATTTGAGCAAAGACCTAAAGTGAGAGGGAGTCAGATGGGCTTCACTGGGGGCAGGTAACAAGCAAAAGAAACTGCATGTGCAAAGGCCCTGAGGCAGGAGTGTGCCTGGCGCATTTCAGGAAGAGCTAAGAGATCAGTGTGGCTGGAGCAGGTGAGCATGGGGAAGAGTGGTAGGAGAGAGGGTCAGGAAGAGACGGGGTAGAAGGGAGTCATGTCAGGTACAGCCTTATGGGCCATTTTGAATACACTGCCTTTCACCCTGAGATAAGTAGGGTTTGCAATAGACTTGTGTTGTGATCTGACTTCTGGATTACCTAGCTGCTGTGTTGCAAAAAGCCTGAAGAGGATCAGGGGCAGTACCAGGGCGACCAGCTGGGAGATGAAACAAGTCCAGAGGGAGGTGACGAGGGGGTAGCAGTGCAGGTGGTAGGAATCCGTTGGATTTAGACCTCTTTTGAAGGTGGGACCGACAGAATCTGCTGGCAGAAGGGCTGTGGGTCTCTGGGCCCATTCTCCATTCAGTAGAACCAGGCGATAAGGAAGGGCTCATCCCCAGCTTCCCCGGGTGTCTGACGGCAGCTGTAGCTCTATGAATACAACAGACCAGCAAGATCATGAATTTCCTGGGGTTTAGGGGTGAGCCTGGGAATACTAGACTCCCCTCCCTCTTGTGCCTTCTCTAGAACAGGGTGGTTTGCAAACAGACATTGGTCTGGAGCCCACTGGTAAGTGGGAAGCTGCCTGACATGGATTTAACTGAACACATGCAAGTAAGTAAAGGTCTGCAGGCTCCTCTCTTGGCTCTGCTCCGTCATACCGTTACATGGTTTTAATCGCAGACCCTCTACACAGCACAGCAGAGAGTGTGCACAGCTGACCCCGGGCTCGGCACGATCAATCGCTCAGCAGCCCTGACGTGAACAAGTTCCTGCCCTGAGCAGCTGTAGCAAAAACCTCAGGACTGTTTCTGACAGGCCCACCTCAGTCCTGTGCCCACCCAAGAACAGATCCCTATGAACAGCGGCTGTGGGGCCGCGCATCCATGGAGACCAGGCCAGCCAAAACTCGCACGACAGGCTACGTTAGGGGCCTGTGTAATACTGTAACGAGAACTTTGAGACCCTTACATTCAAGAGGCATTTTCCCATTAGAAAATGACAACCGTTTATACTTTCAAAAAATTTGGTTTAAACAGAAAATGTTTTGAATAATACTGGATGTATAAAATATATGATTTCTATCCTACATTTTACCAGTTTGGATATATCCCAAGCTTGGTTTTTAGTAACCAGAAGTTTGAACATCAGTGGACTCGGCATACGAGCATTTATAGACTCTTCCTGCTGGTCCACAAAAGGGAATATGAAGGAGAACATTCTTCTGGTTGGAAGTAAAATTGAATTAGTATTAGGATGGATGAGTTGGCCAAGCACGAGAACAGCCGAGAGGAGACAAGGACCTATTTTCTGTCCGACTTTTTTGTTTCTTGTTAATGCGCAAGCAGGAGGCACTGGGGAGCCCACACAGAAAACTGGTTAAGAGCATTTCCCGTTGGCGACACAGGTGTGAAGCTAGGACCGTGATGCCCTTCCCCTGCCTTCTGAAGCACAGCGAGAGTGGGGGATTGCCAGACAGAGGTGACCTAAGCTGGGCATTGAGGCTGACGAAAGCCTTCTGGGTTCTGTCCTCAGTGGCAGGTGTGTACCTGGAGTTTCAAACCAGCTCACTGTGGTGGCCGTTTCTACAACCAAGGGCTGACCCTTTGCAACGATGCTCGTTCCTGAGTGTGTTGGAGTCATTGATGCTGCCGTCGAATGAGCTCATGAGATAGTAGAAATGAAACCTGAGCTCTCTGATTTCTTTTTCTCTACCAGTGTGCCCTTGTCCTATGGTGTTCATGCTTGCTGATGTTTCCCAGCTCCCTTTTTACATGCCGGGCACCATGCCCAGTGCTCAAATGGTACCATCTCCTGTGATTCTTTGAGGAAACCTTAGGGCAGGGACTACTATGATCCCCATTTAAGAATGAGGAGCTGGGAGCTCCTGGAGGTCCTATAGGAAGTGGTGGACCCTGGTTTTGACCATGGGTCCTCTTCACTCTAGAATCCATAACCTTACTGAAGCATCAAGGTGCCGGTCTCCCACCTAAATACTGTGAAAGCTGAGCAGGACCGATATTCAGCAAAGACAACCAGAGGTGGGATTAGCAGGCCTATTGTGCCACCACCTTCCTGTGAGCCTCCCCTGCCAGCTTTGACCAGGGAAGGTAGAGGAACTAAGGTTTGTGGAAGGCCCACTATGGGCTAAGCAGTGTGCAGTATTCCCATCTACCGTGTTGGGATTTACAAAAATCTATTTCACAGTGCCTTAAGCACAAGGGGGGAAAAAAGAATCCATTGATTCATGGAGTGGAACAGTTTGGAGCATCAGGCCCACCTAGACGGATGAGATGGAATGAGGATAGAAGGGCTCGGCTTGGGTTGTGTTCCTGTGTTTGTCACTCCCTTTGTCTCGAGTGTCCGCTCTCCCTGTGTTGGCTTTTCTCTGTGGCCCTCTGTTTCCACATGGTGGCCTCTGGCCCATGTCAGACCTGCACCCTCCCATCCCGGTAGAAAGGGAATTTCTCTTCCCTAACCATCCCGCTTAAATCCCCAGATGGTGTCTCTTAGCAGACTCAGGTCATTTGTTCACCCCTAGAACCTTCTGGAGCTGAGGGAGTAAAGACTTTGGTCAGACCTGGCTCTGAGATGAACTCTGGAGCCCAGAAGTGAGGTCTTTGCCATCGTAAACCCCATGAACTGAGAGTGCACAAGGGAGGTTTTCCCCAGGGACCCTCAAAGCCCAGAAAGGGGACCGGATGGAGGTGTCAGGCAGACAGAAGCAGCCCGTGTCCACACTGGGAGATTGGAATGAGAAGGGGAGGGACTTCCGCTGAGAAAAAAGACTTGGATGGCAGAGAATGATGCAGTCAAGTAGGAGGAAAGGCATAAGATAGGCACCGGAGCTCAGTCTGGTCAGCCTCAGGGTCTCCGTGAGGACTGCGGTGCCATGAATGCGTGGGCCATGGAGAGGAACAACGGGCCACTTCCAGTCCCATCTCAGCTGCAGGATTTCTAGAGCCGGCAGACAGCAGTTGAGAACCATCGCGTTGTCGAAGAAAGGTGAAAGTGGTTTCTAAGATTGCCTGGGCACGGGACCCCCATGCACCTTCTCTGTTCGTGCCGTGAAGTCATGCCTGCTGCCCATCATGCTGGGCCTGGGGATCAGGGGATGAGCTTTCTCCCAAGAGTTGGGGGAAGCAGACGAGTCCATAAAATGGAGCATAGAGAATGGAGGCTGGAATCCAGGGTGCTGTGCTGGCACAAAGGTAGGACTTCATCCAGGCCTAGAGAGGGGGTGGCAGGATCAGGGAAAGCTCCCTGGAGGGCTGATGTCCACCCTGGGTCTTGGAGAGCAAGCAACTGGAAGCTAGTAAGAGGGTGTACAGGTGTGGAGAGAAGCCGGCCAGTCGTAAGCGCGTCCCCGTGTCCAGCGTCCCTGGAGCAGAGTATGGGGACGGAAAGAGCCAGACCCTGAAGGTTCTGGGTGCCATCTGAAGGGATATGTACCTTCTCTGAAGCAGGATGGAAAGGCATACAGAAACCACGTGACAGGAAGGCAACGGGAGAAAGCAGCTGTGCTATGTAGGGCTGAGGGGGCAGCACAGGCCTGGAGGCACCCAGGCTGGATTTGGAGCCGGTTCCGGCGTTCACTACCCATGGCCTCCAAGTAGGTGTCACTAGCAGGGGTGTAGTTATTCCCAAAGGGGTGAAAATGGGTATTTAGGAGGTTCAAAACAAACAAATATAAATTTTTTTATATATATAGAAAGAGAGCTCAGGTATATAGTGCCCAGATATACAGCAGGTTCCTGGTGCATGTCCTGGTGTATCCCAGTGGAGGGCAGTGATGAGGAAGTGGTCTGCTTCAGGATGTGCCCACGTCGGGAGGAGC